CTATAAGCTATTACTTTGCTAAAATATAAAGTCACAAGTAGGTTAAAACTATGGGTTTTATAAGAGTTATGTTGTAGGAAAAATGATTGTGTAATGTTATAGAGATTCGTTTTGCGTGCCGAAGTTTTTTTTTTTTTTTTGCTGCGTGCCCCACAAAATGTTGTATGTGTAGGAAACTTTTTGTGGTCATGTTAAATGATAGATGATAAACCCTAAAACTATTGTTATTAAAATCAATCCGGCCGACCGATTGGCCCAAAAACCGGCCTGATTATGCAACAATAGTGGCTTGTGGGAGCCGAACCCTTCTATAGGAACGAACAATATAGCACTTACCAGTAGGCTAAATTCTATTTTTGATTAAGATGTATCGTTTAATATGTTCATTATATAATTTAATATACATATTTCACATGTAACAGCTTGTGGGAGTCGAAGTGTTGAACCCTTGTTATGGGGATGGATAGAATAGCATTCACCACTAGCTACTAGGGGGTGTTCGCGGTCTGGATTGGATCGGTTTTAGAAGCAAAAATCATCTGATCCAATCTCTTCGGTTTGATCATATAATCATCCATTCGGTTTTGATTTTTTTTCAAATCCGATCCGAACCAATCCAATTTTTTTCGGTTTAGATTGGATCGGTTTTCGGTTTTTAAAAATCCTAAAATTTATTTCATAGTTATTGTGCAAATAACATCTTTTGTATATATTGACTTTGTAATTTTTTTTTTAAAATACAAAAGCATTAGTAAACTATAATATAGTTTTTTTTTTTACAATGAGATATGAAGCTCTACAAAGATAAAATTTTGTTGATGAGAAGTGACAAGATTTTTTTTTTTGGTTTAGTTGATGGGTTAATGGGTCTTGGGTTTAAAAATTTTTAGGCTATAATTAGGGAAAGACCCAAGTAGGTAGAGGGAAATTAATATATTAGATCGATTTGGATTGGATCGGTTTTCATCAACCCATCCAAAAACCGATCCAATCCAATTAAAATCTTCAGTTTTTAATCGGTTTTCAATTTTTCGGTTTTCGGTTTATTCGGTTATCGATTTTTCGGTTATCGGTTATCGATTTTTCGGTTCGGTCACCGCGGTTTGAATCGGTTTGGATCGGTTGATGAACACCTCTACTAGCTACATTATATTGTTGGTTAAGATATACCATTTAATATATTTATTATATAATTTAATATAAATTTAATTTAACGGGTTAAACAAATAACTCACTAGTTAAATCAATACTCATTGACCTTATACCTTCATCGAGTTGATAAGCAGGTCAACTTCAATAAAATTGGTTAAAACCTCTTCTAGAAGTCAAAGAGAAAGAAATTTTGGTTGGTCTCAAAGTAAGAAAGCGGCTCATAAACTAAATAATTAAAAACGTTATTGACTTTCTATTTGTTGAAACAATCTCCAATATTAGCCACCAAACAATCTCTTTCACTACAGCATAATAGTTTAATTTCCTAATGTTGTTCTCATACTCATCCTACCTTGTAAATGCCTTTTTATTAAATTAAAGAGTGTCGCTACATTAAATTAATTGTTATTTTTGTTTTACGAACCCTTGAATTGTTATTTATAAAATTGTCACTAGTGATGCAAAACACACAAATCCCCATTAGAGGTCTGTGATTTAGCGGTGCGCACGTTGTTTGCATACTGTTTCTATGAAGTTATTATTAGCAGAGTTATTATTCAATGGTTTGGTATTTGTCATTTTAAATGACATAAGTTATGTCATTTTAAAAGAGAGATAGACATAAAGAATGAAAATAATGGGAGAGAAAGTGAGTGGTTTTTTTTAATTTAAATTTTAAATAAAAAAATATTTTCTTGTGTCTATCTCTCTTAAAATAACATAATTCTATGTTATTTAAAATACTTTTTCTATTATTTAATGCATTAATATGATTTGGTTCAATTGTTTATTCTTTAGTCATAACAAAGTAATAATTTGGACTTGAATTTAGAAATGTGTTATTGACGGGTTATTTATAAATCAATTGTAAATACTCATTAAGTCTAAAAACTTATGAGAATGGTGAATTGAAATAATTATTAGTTCGCCCTATAATTTTATAAGAAAAAAAATTACGAGCATATTGTTAAGAAAATGATTGGAAGTAATCTTTAATCACTTCAAAACGTGAAACGTTTAGAGAAAATGATTTTAAATTGAAAGGCAAATTTCATAATGGCATCATCAATGGGATGAAAATATGAACCATAGGAATCATCGGGCTTATAATTGTTTAAGTTAAAGTCACTTGTCAATCCTCAGAGCTTAATGAACTGGACATGATGCTTCCCGATTTGTACTTAGCCCTTAGGTACCAGGTCGGATCTTGTGGGAGGCGAAAGAAATACCTTTGAGCAGTATTAAAAACTCGATCCGGGCTATGGACTCGGTCGAGGTCAGGGGTTATGGATTCAATCGAAGTGTTATGGGATCATTTCGTTAATTCGGTTTTATATATATATAAAATATAAATATATATTTTATATGAAAAATTCAAAAAAATTGAACCATCAATTATCAAAATTTAAAATATACTTAATATAATTCAACCAATTACATCACAAGTCAATATTACACAAGCTAATCAAAGTATCAAATTATAAAACACATATTCCAATGGAGTTAATGAAAAGTTATATCATCAAACTTAGGCCATTCGCATCTACAACAACATGTGGAAAAAGATCCCTTACTCAAGAGAGAACGACGGAGGAGAGAGAAGACCGAAGAGGATAGGAGGAAGCACTATTACGGTGGAGGAGATCATCGGATCAAGAAGACTGGGTCTGGGTATGGTTAAGAAGATTGGAAGAGAAAAAGAACGATTCAGATTTCAGATCCAGTTCTAAATCTAGGCAGAAACGAGTTTTTGTTGTTTTTTTTTTACACACCAAACAACATTGTTTCATGTGTAAATTTAATTTTTTTAAATGCAGTGACCTCTTCTAACTCGGGAGTTACGGGTTCAACCGAGAGTTTCGGGGGTCAGAAGAGTTAACGTGCATGCAGGGTCTAATTGCTAACCCCAATCCTCAGAGAGAGGAGATTAGTGACCTGGCGGGGCAGAGTTTTAAAACACTACCTTTTAGGGGTAGATAGTCTTTTATATAACACGTGTTGGACTGTACTACTAGCTGACAAGTCCAATGTTTGGAGTCCAGTCCGAGGGTTGGGACATCACTAGTATATTATTTAATAATTTTCCATTGGATTATTTTATTCCAAAATTTACTGTTGGATTCATAAAATTATATTTATAAATTATTACATTCGTATAAAATTATTTAGTACTTCATTAATATACAACAAGATTAATGTGTTATATATTTTTAAAATATATGAAAATAAAAACTATTTGATTATATTCTTCTTATCATTCAATTTTTACTAGAATAAAAATAAGAGTTGAGATATATAATTATTATAATTCATAAGACCTTAATCCTCAACTCGTCCCGTATTCGGGATTAGTCTCATAGTTAACTCAAAGAATTTATGTTTGTAGGGATACCTGTGGAACCTACTCGCCTCAAAGAAATAATTAGGGTTGATATCCAAATAATAATAATACAACCGTTGAATCGATAAAAGTCACAATTTATATGAAATTATGAATGGTTTATGAATGATTTTGACTTACACGTTATAAATTGATCATAATTTCTTTTTTAATTTAATTATTATATATTTTATAAATATTTAATTTAACTAGTGACTCGTTATAAGTAATTAAATATCTAAATTGAGTATTTTTGACCTGCTTCACACTCGAGATTAGATACATAGTCGGTTCAAAAAGTCAAAACTTATAGAGATATCCAGAAGAACCTATCCATTTGGAAAAGATAATTAGAGTTGTTGTATATATATATAAAAAAAATCCTAACTGAGTGAACGATGGTTCAAATTTAATAAAACCATCATATTTCTCTTGTATATGTGATTTTATATGAGACCATATGAATTGTTTATGAACAAATCATGATTAAGGATTAAAAAAAAATAGAATAAAAAATTATTAATTCATCTACTTTGTCGCAAAATGGAAAAAAAAAGAAAGAGTTACGTGATGAAATTAACAGGAATAAAAAGGCAGTTGCCTTATCTATTGTCCCAAAGAGTTTTAAGCAAAGGGCTAAGCCGTTCATTGCTTCGAGCTCGGCAAAAAAAATTTCAGCAATGGACATTAATGGCAGAAAGCCTCTTGTTCTCCCTTCTACATCATCTCCTCCACATGTGGTAACTCCCTCAGATTCCGGTAAAAGGGAGGATGGGGTTGATATTTCCATAATAACGCATGACAACAAGAGTCCGGTTACTCTTTCCAGCTCGAAGGATGTTGAGGCTTCGAATGCTAGTTTGAGACCTGCTGATGTACCCTCGGTGATGCGGGATAGTTTTGATCTCCCCAAAGTCTAATGACAGGGTGTTTTTCATCCTTTCTCATTATTTTTTGTGGTTTTTTGATGAGTGTGTGTGTTTGGAATTGCAGGGGGGCCGGAAAAAAGGGTTTTTCTCCCCTTATTAGGGACTTGTCTCGTCGTTTTAATATTCAAGTTATGGCTTTGCTTGAAACTCGTATCGGAGCTGACCGTGCTCAGAAGGTGGTGAAAGGCTTTGGCTTTCAAAAGCATGTTATGGCTCATCCTCAAGGTTTTTCTGGTGGTCTGTGGGTGTTATGGAATGATGATGAAGCTCAGATTCAGATTTTAGAGTCTCATCGTCAGTTTATCCATTTAAAAATTTTTTGGCGTAATAGGAGGAAGGAGGAAGCTGTTACTTTTGTTTATGCCAGTCCGCGGCGTCTTGAGAGGGTGTCTCTGTGGGATGCTCTAGGAAGGTTACAACAGCAATCCTCGGAGGCTTGGTGCATTTTGGGAGATTTCAATTCTTATTTGCATGCAGCAGAAAAGGAGGGAGGTGGCCCGCCTGATTGAAGGAGTATTTATGATTTCCAAAATTGTATTATGAACTGCAATCTGGAAGACTTGGGTCATCAGGGGCCTACTTTCACTTGGCATAGAGGCAGATTGAAGGAACGTCTTGATAGAGTTTGTGCGAATGAGCAGTGGCAATTGTCCTTTCCTGACAGGGTTGTGACTCATCTTCCCTGCTACTGCTCGGATCATAGACCTCTTCTTCTCTGGGAGGGTCCTTCTCCTCACCATCCTGGAGGGAGCCGTCCATTTAGATTTCTGGCAGCCTGGCTCACTCATGAGGATTTCCCTGGCCTAGTGCAGGAGTGTTGGAATGGGAGTACAGGTTGGGGCACAGCTAGTGAAACTTTTCGATCGAATGCTTCTCACTGGCATAGGGAGTGCTTTAGGGAAGATGCCAAGCTTAAGAATAATCTTCAGGCAAGACTAAGGGGTATTGACCGTAGTCTTAGTCACCATCCTTGCCATGCTCTAGAAATTCTGCAGAAAGATCTTTGGCGTCAGTTGAATCTCATTTATATTCGGGAGGATCTTACTTGGTTTCAGCGGTCTAGGGCTAGCTGGTTGAAATATGGTGACCGGAATACGAAATTCTTCCATTCTACTACAGCTGCTAGGAGGAGGAGAAATCGTATTGATGCTCTGAAAAATGATGCAGGTGATTGGATTGGTGATCCCTCTATTCTGATGAATATGGCGGTGGAGTATTATCGTAATTTGTTTAAAGAGGATAATACTGCTAGACCTGGGCTTCCAATTAGAGGCTATTTTCCTCACCTTGTGCAAGAGCACAACATTCATATTGGTAGCATTCCTTCGAATGAGGAGATTAGGAGTACAGTTTTTTCCATGGGACCTCACAAAGCTCCAGGGGTGGACGGTCTTCATAGTCTATTTTTCCAATCTCAATAGGATACTGTAGGAAGCTCTGTTTGTGATCTGGTGAAAGATGTGTTTAATAATCCCCAAAAAGTTCGGGATATTAATCAAACTCTTATTTGCCTGATCCCGAAGATAACTTCACCTCAATCCCTTAAAGATTTCCGGCCTATTAGCCTTTGTAATGTTATTTATAAGACTATTACTAAGCTTATTGCTAACCGTTTGAAATTGCAGATGGATAAAGTTGTTATGCCTAACCAGTGTAGTTTCATCAAAGGAAGGCAAGGGACAAATAATGTAATTATTGCTCAGGAAATTATTCACTCTATGAGGTCAAAGAAAGGCGCCAAAGGTTGGATGATGATTAAGGTGGATCTGGAGAAAGCTTATGACAGAATTAGCTGGGACTTTCTCCGAGATACTCTTCAGGATGTGGGACCCCCCCCAAATCTCATTAATCTTGTTATGTGGTGTGTTTCTTCTTGTTCGATGAATGTTCTTTGGAATGGTTCTACAACTCAGGAGTTTTTCCCATCCAGGGGGCTTAGACAGGGTGACCCTTTGTCCCCATATTTATTTATTCTTTGTATGGAGCGACTTGGTCATCTCATTTCCCATGCAGTTAGGCAAAAGTGCTGGAAGCCGATCATGTTGAGGAGAAATGCTCCTCCCATTTCTCACCTATTTTTTGCGGATGATCTTATTCTTTGTGCGGATGCATCCTTTGATCAGGCCCAAACCATTTCCAAGGTGCTAGATGATTTTTGTCTTTCTTCTGGGCAAAAGGTTAACCATGAAAAAACAAAAATTCTCTTCTCCCACAATGTGAATCATATTTTGGCAGAGGAACTTAGTGGTGAGTTGGGCTTCTCAAGGACGGTGGATCTTGGAAAGTATCTGGGTATTCCTCTTCATCATCGCAGAGTTGGGAGGGCGGCTTTCAGTCATATCCTCGATCGAGTTCAATCTAGGATTAATGCCTGGAACCACACCAGTCTTTCTCTAGCAGGAAGAATTACACTTTCGAAAGATGTTCTCTCAGCTATTACAGCCTACACAATGCAAGTTTCTGTTGTTCCTCTCGGAATCTGCAATGATATTGAGAAACATATTAGGAGGTTTTTGTGGGGTTCCAATAGAGCATCTACTCGTCCTCATCTGGTTGCGTGGGATCAGTTATGCATGGATAAAGATCATGGAGGGCTGGGTCTGAGGAAAATGAAGGAAGTTAACAGGGCTTTTATTATGAAAATTGGTTATGGGATCCTTTCTAATCCAGACGCGCTTTGGGCTAGAGTTTTAAAGAGCAAGTATAAAGTTCAGTCTGATTTGGTTCCTAATATTTCTGCTACTCGGAATAGCTCCTCTCTTTGGAAAGCAATTGTTTCGTCTTGGCCTGTGATATTACAGCATTCCAGAATTTTGCTAGGTAATGGAAATTCTACTCATTTTTGGGATGACCCGTGGGTTCCGGGTTGTGGTGCACTCTCATCCTATGCTGCTATTTCTGATCCCTCTCAGATAAATCATCAGCTAATGGTCTCTGATCTTGTCTCATCCTCCGGAAGTTGGATGTGGGGGGCTTTCCAGCATAGTCTTCCCGATCACGTCAATGCTCGTATTAATAACATCCTTCCTCCTTCGGATGTTAATGGTCATGACCGAATTTTGTGGACAAGGACATCTGATGGGAGTTTTTCGCTGAAGTCCGCTTATATGGCCATATCCAGGGGTAACGAGGAATCTACCAATTTACCTTGGAATCGCGTTTGGCAGTGGCATGGACCTGAACGGATTCGTACGTTCCTTTGGCTGTTGTTAGGAGATAAAATTTTGACAAATGAAAGGCGTTGCAGACGGCACATGGCGGGTTCAGATATATGTCATCTGTGCAATTGTTTTACGGAAACTTCCTTACATGCAGTTAGAGATTGTATTGCAGCAAAAAAAGTGTGGGAGATTGCAGTTAAGCGAGAGGCTTGGGAGGATTTTTTCTCTCTTAATCTTCAGCAATGGGTGTTGTCCAATATCTCTGAGGATCGTAATTGGTCCAATTTTCCATCATGGCCTCTTCTGTTTGGTATCATTTCCTGTTTCATTTGGCAAGCTAGGAATAAGAAAATTTTTCAGGGATCTTCTGTTCCTGCTTATGGCACTTTTAGAGCTGCTATGGTCTATGGTGAAGATTTTTCTTGGTCAGAAAACACGCTTCGGGTTGCTGGTCTTGAGACTAACTCGAATAAAGAGAAATTAGTTTCTTGGGTTTTTCCTTCGGACCCTTGGGTTAAGCTCAATGTGGATGGGTCAAGTATGAATAATGGAGAAGCTTCTGCTTGTGGGGGTGTATTTAGGAATGCTAATGGAAGGTGGCTTGTTGACTTTTGTAAAAATCTTGGCTGTGGTAATGTTTTGTTAGCAGA